GGGACCAAGTTTAGTGTAAAACAGAACCAGTTGATTGAATAGTTCCTGGGCTGAATGGTCCAACCATCCAGGTCAATGGGGGTTCAAAAACCCTAGCTAGGGGTGAAATTTTGGTTGGACCAAGTAAGCATTTTGCATTGTTCCAAGTTCAGGTCTTGGGCCAGGCACATTCAAATTTTGACAAAATCCCAATCTGAGCCCACCCACCTATTATCTATATAAGAGTAGATAAAATTATAAAGATAGTCTTAAAATAGCACTCCACAAAGTCTTCCCACATCTAACTATAGACGCTACAGCTGTGTAGTAGTGAATGACAATGAGGTATTCCCAATGCACAGCTGTAGTATCCTGTGGGTAGGGATGTTGAAAGAATTTGTGGGTAGGAGAGATTATAAACACCCTGCCTACATAAGAACTTTGCCCACGTCGCACATGGAGAACATTTCATCCTCCTACATAATATTATGCACAAGGAGATATTCCCAATGCATGACCATTGTATGACGTGGGCAGAATTCATGTGGGCTGGAGATCCAGAGTCAAATAAAGCTGAATTAAATAAGCTGCACCTCATCGAAAAGAGCAGTCATTTGGTTTTTTCTTTAAACAATGTTATTAAAAGAGTTGGGATTCTAGCCAGCCAAGGCAAGCCAACTGGTGGTGTATTCTATCATTTAAATCAACCGGAACTTTGCAGAAGGAATGTCCAGTTGGTGTATTTTTCTTTCTTCGGTCACATGCTCACCACTATCGTTTGTTTGAGGACGAATTTGATACCTTTTCTTCTCTTTTAGAGATCCAGAATCTCAGAGCTGGGATTACGAAAAGAGACCAACCCCAGTTGATATGGGTTCCGCAAAAGTCCAACCAGACCAGCTAAGCATCACTTTAATGGCTAAATAAACAGGGTTCATATTACGATTACATTCAACACACCAAGAAGACAGAAAGAAAACAAACCAAATTATAACCATCAACGGAAAAAAAAAATTGCCTTCTTCATAAATGATTCTTTATAGGAGCACTTGTCTTGAAAGAATATATTGATTAAAGTATTCGCACATAGGATTCAAGTTTAAAGATATATAGAACCTTCGAATTCTGGTTGTTTAAGAATAAAATATGTAGTATGGGCTTCTGAATCTAGAAGTTTGGCCTTTGGTGGCTACAATATAATCAAACAGAATCGACCAGAATATTCAGATCAATCAGAATATTCTGAGCTGGCAACTGTTCTTTTCCTTCTCTTGGATAAAATATTCAGATCAACCAGAATCAAGCTTGCCCTGAACACTAGCTAACGAATTTATGTTCGTTTATGCTTAAAAAGTTAAAACAAACAGTCATCTCTTTCGATTTTAAGTAACTGACCAGTAAAAGAAATAGTGGAGAAAATTAAGGCTCCATTTGATTTGTAGTCAGAATCGAAATCAGAATCTTTTAGAATTGGAATCGGGAATGATTTATTTTTATAATCTTTTTGGTTCAGATAGGAATAAAAGTGTCATTGGAAACAGCAAGAATAGAATTTCATTCCCAAAAGAAAACTAAGGAATAATCATGGAAAATGACATTCTATTAAGAATAGGAATAGGATTCTGATTCCACCCAACCAAACTGTTCGAATCCGAATGAAAGCATTAAAGGCTCATTACAACTACTTTGTTCTCTTGAATGAATTTATAGAATTTTCCTTCCAAGGCTGGTTTTAACCTTTTAGCCTTCTAACTGTTCAACATTTTGACAGCCATTGAAAATGGCAAACAAATTGAACACCTATCTAGATTTATAACTGTATATTCATTAATTACGCTTTTAGGATCAATAACGTTGTTTTTGGTTTGATGGTAAACAAGAACGAAATAGAAAGTTGAGGGTAAATTCCCAAGGAATTTTACAAAATTTATGGACAACTTTCCATTTTTTGATCTGTTTCTCTCTTACATTCTTTCAAACCAGACATAGCATGGTCTTGAACTGGGTAAACCCATGGGTGATCATTTTCAGCATGGTCCTTTTTTAAGATAAAAATTTTATTAAAAAAGAAAAGAAGAGAAAAAAAGGTACAGATATAAAAGCAACCGAATCTTAACCCTGCCCAAGCCCAATAGAGTTCGTATTGGCTGGAAGCTAGGGGTGCAAGTCGTGCGGATTGGGCCAGGTTTATGGTCAACTTGGACCCGATCCTAAAATTTGGGCTTAAGGCCCGAGTCTGGACCAAGCCCAAGGTCAAGCCTAAATTTCCCAACCCAAGCCCAGCTCGCACTATAATTTGATGCACTTGGGTTGGGTTCAGGCCCAGGCCAAGCTCGGGTTGGTCAATGAACCCACTCTAAAATTATACATATATATGCATTTATGCAAATATATATACATATATTTATGTATATATGTATGTAAAATATGTATGTTTTTTTTTTCGATGTATGTAAGTAGATAAATATGTATAAAATTAACATAAATATACATATGTGTATAGTTAGACTGGGCTCAGGCTGGGCTCGGGCCGGGTTCGGGCTATCTAAGGGCTAGACCCAGGCCCAACCTGAAAAATAAAAACCCAATTTCTTGGGCCCGAACCCAACCCGAGGACTGAAAATCCAAGCCCAGCCCGTGTAAAATTTTAGACTGGACCGGTTCAGGCTCAAGTTGAGCCCACCCAAATTGCACCCCTATTGGAAACAAATCATGCACAATGGGTTTAGAAACCTATCACAAATCAGTACACCAGTGTTCCATACGCATGTTTTGGGTCTCATGTGTGCTCATGTGTATAGAACACTGGTGTGTATACTCATGATCGGGTTAGATGTTCAGCCCGATGTACATGATTTTGTCTCCAGTCCATCCAGTTCCAACCCAACAAGCACCAACTTCCTCCACCAGCACTACAAGAACTTAGCTCAAAACCAAATCTCTACAACCAAATTGAAAAAAAAAATGGTAGCAAAAGCCCAAAAGACCTAAGAACACCCTTGTTAGCTACAATTAAGCTGAAGCCCTACCTCGCTCTCCCTTTCCTCTTAGGGCTGCAAGTCGGGTTGGGTTAGGTCAGGTTGAGACCAACCCTAGCCCAACCCTAAGTTTTAAACTCCAACCCGACCAACCCAACCCTAACTAAATTCCTTCAACCCTAACCAAACCCAATCCAACCCGAAGTCAATTTCGGGTTGGGTTGGGCTCGGGTTGGGCCCAACCCAACTTTCTTCCCATCCCTTAAAACCTCATAAATTCTCAATTTTAGATCTTAACTCAACTTTCACTACATATATTAATCCTATCTTTCATTAGTATTTGTTTGTTGACGTTTTTTTTTTTTTTGTTTTTTTGGTATACAATTAAAAAAAAAAAAACAAGTTTTAGAAATAACTATAGTTTACCATGAGTTATGGCTTACGATAGATCTTTCTTGGGCGGAAAACAACGTAGAGGAGATGAAGAATAAAATTTTCAGAAAAAAATATTATTATTAAGGTTTTATTCTTTCTGATTAGGATTAAGTGAAGTGATTATCTTAAAAAAATACATGATACTATGTGGTGGGGGCTATACAAATATCATGCATCTAAACAAATCAATGTATTTTATATATTACATATAACATGTACTATAAAGTCAGATTCAGATTAGACTGGATTGGCTAAGGGGTTAACCCTAACTCAACCCGAAGTAAAATCGGATTCATAAATTTCAGCCCTAACCTAACCCGAATATCAATCCGACCCAACCCAACCCAATCATTTTGGATTGGATTAGGGTTGAGTTCGGGCCAACCCGGCCCAAGTTGTAGCCTTACTAGTTCCTCTTCTTCCAACTTGCAGAGTTTTCAGCCTGGCCCAGTTGCCCATACTTAGATGAGGCTATGAATTTTATGTATAGTCTTATCTATTTTATATAATACATATAATATATAATATATAATATTTTATATTATATAATATATAAAATAAATTTCATATACATATTACATGACATATACTATAAAATATTACATATATTTAACATTTTATAAATAAACCATAAGCCCAGAATCAGGCCCGGCCCATTATCATTCTTAGGTAAACCTGAGCCTACCCATTTACCCAGTCCTACAGCCCAAGTGGCCTCCACTATTGACTTTTGACATGTTGAGACACAATATTAGTTATGTTTGGTTTCCTGGCTGTTTATTAGAAAAACACTACTACATTAATACTTAAATTTGTGTCTATGAGTCATTGGGGAAACAAGAATTTGAATTTACCCCCAACTCCCCAGTATTTGTTGGAATGAAATGCTTATATGGTATTTTAAGCTGAGGTGGAAAATAACTTTATGGAATGTTATTTGAAAACAATTAAAACAATAAACGTTTAAAGTAAGTTTTCCAAATAAACTTTTAAAGCAATAAACACCCTGTATATGTTTGGCATCTTTGCAGCACCGTATTTTTCAAAAAACAGTGCTGCTGATGTGTGGGTTGGAAGTACCATTTCCTGAGAAAATGGTGTCTTTTTCTTGTTTGGAATCATTTCTGCCAGGTAGGACGTTTCCTGGAGCAACAGCAACTTTTTTCTGTTCGGTACTAATGCTCTAAGAAACATTTTCTGCACTGTTAGCAACTTCTACCCATTATCCAGTGCCACATCACTGCCCTGTTAGCAGCAACGAGCTGCAACTCCAGAAAATGTCAAATTTGGCATTGCTCCAAGCCATACCTTCCCGATTTCCAATGCATGGTTTGGAGCACTGTTTTCTATGGAAAAATAGTTCCAAACATATGGTTATTTCCTGAAGCACCGTTTTTTCCTATGTGACACTGATGTGGCGCCGTTGCTCTAGAAATTGACAAGGATGCCAAACAGCCGCTCTATCTATTAATGCCCATGAAACCAAACACATAGTTTTAGATGTTTATGTTGTGGAAGTTGTATCTACTCCGTCACTTCGCTTACATTCAGTGATGGTATATAACCTTCTCTCCACTTACAAGATCACTATTCTTTTTCTTTTTTCCATGAAAAAAAAGTATATCCTTTCACTTTTATTACAGCCGACTTCGAGTTAAATAATCACATTACAAATATATACATGCAACCATACTTAAAATGTTATACACATAAGCACCAACTTTTAAAATTAACGAAGATGGAAAAACGAGATGTCTTCACATATTCAATCAGTTATGCAGAACCCATGAGTGCATATTATCAAAGGAAGGACCCATCTAATACAATCAATCTGAGGGAGCGCAGCTCTTTGATAATTGTCTCATTCAATTCACACTGATACAAAATCCTTGTTCTTCTCGCCAACCTTCTCCTTGATCTCACTCTTCCCACCCCCAAAAACAAAATCCAGATTGTACAGTATTGGAACCATGGTTATTGAACTCAAGAAGACAAGTACTGGACCAAAGATCCAAAGAAGAAGAGGTAGGGCTGAGTAGAAAAGCCTGTTGCCAACAGTGTTGAGGGTGAAACTTTTCTCCAGTAGTTCAGAGATATATTCGGGAGTCACTATGCCCAAAGGGTCCTGAGTGGAGTTGATGAGGAAGTTCACCTGGTTCACAAACCGAATAGACAGAGAATAACAGAGAAAAGCAAAGAGAAAGATCAAGAGGAGAGTGACATATTTCAACGCCATCATGAATTCACCATGCGCTCCAAAGACATCGTCATTAAGTGGTTTCTTAATACTATAAGTGCTACTGAGGACAGCCGCTAAGCCAGTGCAAAGCAGGATCGATGTGGTGGCCATCAGGGTCGAACCCATAATCGCATTTCGAATGGTCTGAACGGCTAATATATTCTTCTTGTCATTATCCTGAGAACCCAACAAAAAAAAAAAACTTTAGTTATGAAAGTATAATTGCTTGGTGCAGTGGTAAAATACTAAAATGTTGGGCTGATAAGCATGAGAATGTGTTATGCATTTATGTGTTATTGAGGATTCCCCTCAAATTCAGAGAACAACTTCTGTATTTACATGTTACCATTCATAGGAAGATATGAATTCGTCTGTGAATCTGGACTGATCAGAGTGACCACTTTGTTAAAAAAGTGCCAAAAACAAAGTTGAAACTCAGTTCAGTCCACCCTTCCCAAGACCCAAGATTTGGCAGTTTTTCTTTTTTTTTTTTTTTGAAAAGAGATTAATTTATATATTGAGAATAACAAAGCAAATTAGTGTACCTATAAATTTAAATTTGTAATAACTTTCATACAGAACTGGGCATTTAATTGTGGCATACATGTCATCACATGACATACATATCAGCAGAGTCGTATATGTGAAAACCTCAATCACCATAAGAAACCATGAAAGGTGGAGAATATTCTACAGTCATGGTCATTGCTTTCTATCAACATCTATTGATGATGATGTATTCCTATATGGCAATATTTCTGCTTTGGTATGATGTAAATAACAAAGAAAATGAACTCAGTCATTATCCAATATTCCAATATACCATCATCAACCACAGCATGTTCAATTAGTACTGAACAAAGCTTTCTGTTTTTTGCATGCATGGTTTCAAAAGTTAAAGTTTGAAAGCGCTAACCATACTAGTGAAAGACACATCAAACAACCACCCCTAATGCTGTGTTTGGTTTGATAGAAGATAATGGAGAAATTAGAAAAAAAAATGTTGACAGAAATTCTTAAGGAAATTCATAAAAATCCATGATCTGAACTTTCCCTCAACTTTCTGTTTCTCTTATTTCCATAGGAAATTCATAAAAATCCATAAGAATTTTTAAGGAAATTCTTAAGAAAATGTGGGCAATTTCTGTTATTCTGGCTCAGTTTGAAAAGAGTATATATAAATGCAAATATGTACAATGCAAAATAATACAAAATAGAAGATTTTGTACTCTATATATTTGTATTTATACTCCTTCCAAACTGACCTTCTGTGAGTAGATAGAAGGGAAAGTTGGTTTTCCTTTGCATTACCTTCACCATGGTCGCAACCCATAAACGTCGGCCGGCGGAATTGGTTCCAATGATGGTGGTGAAAGGTTGGGTTCGAACTTTATGCCATAACCAAATATGATAAACAAGGGTAGCCAGAAACCCCAATGGCACTAAGACCAAATCCAGATAGCACTTCCTCCACACCATCTCTCTCTCTCTATGTATGTATGAGTTCTTATTCTTTTGGTTTGCTCACAGCTCAGTTCCCTTTATATAGAGAGATAACACAATGCATTTGGACTTGATTTGGGGCAAGGGTCATATAGTGAATAGAACCACCTTTAACTTTTTAGGTAAAAGACAAGGCTTATTCCTATAATTAAAGTTGGAGTTTGCCCAACTTTTGGCCATTGACCTTAATGAATGCCACTCTATGCTCCAAAAAATAACTCTAAGTGCCACTCCAAGAATTCTTCAAGGATACTTTTGTAAAATTCCACCATAGAATTCAACACCAATTCCATAACCCTATTTCTCTATTATAGCATTTTGACCCACAATTTCGTCATCATCTATAATATCACTTACAATTGTTACAGACAGAAAAAAAAATGAAAATTCTTTAAATTCTGAAACAACATTATTTTTTAGATTTTTTAAACCTTTACCAATAATTAATTGAAATATATAGCTCTATGTTAGACAGTGAATTTTAATATATGTATGACACCCAGCAGAATAGAATGATGGAACAAGATTTATGTAGCCAACACTATAAAGGGTGTTTGGTATCATGATATTGTTGAGGTGTTGCTTTGCACTCGATTTAAGCATTGAAAATCGGGAGAGTGGAGTGTTTTGGCACGATCTACAATGTATGTATATAATATATGGATGGAGAAGTATGGATAGGCCCAATGTAGATTTTTGATTTCTACTGTAAAGCTATAAACACTTAAAATGTCAAAAACCCCTATTCCATATACCAATGCCCGCATCACTTCCGAGTTGGCACCCACCCCAACTGTACTTTAAACCTAAAAATTCTGACTCTGGGATGAACCGTTATTCTCCCTATAATATATAGGTGTCATTATTAGCCAAGTATCAAACGCCCAAAGGAGTAGAAATTCACTTTCACATAGTCCAAATGCATGTACAGTCAAAAAAACCTATATGTGACGCTTGTGTGGCAATGAAACAGCTCCACACGACCACAATACCAAACACCACCATAATCAAAAACCACAACAACATCACATGGGTTCTAGAAGCCCCAACATATTGAAAAACTCTTTCCCTAGGTATATACCCATAAAAAGACAATGGGTTCTAAGTTCTAACACCTCAGAATGCAAGAAAGAGTTTACTATTTTTATGCCAACTTTTAGGCTGGATATATCCTGGCGGCTTTCCTGTTATACATCTTCCAACAGAAGATGAATATATCTTTTATTCTCCTCCCATTAATCAGTTGTTCGTAGAACATATCCAACAAACTACTTGAAAAAAGGAGGATTGGAATGTCAAATGAGTTTCAGGAGGAAGAATAAATCGTTCTTTGGGCATAAGGCTGCGTTTGGCATTCCTTATTTTAATGACTTATCGCCATTTTACAATTAAAAATTCAGTGTTTTTTCAGCGTTTATAGGACCATTTTAACAGGGAAAAGAAGACAAATCTTTAAAAATATAGTTTCAAACTTTTTAAGGGCATTGTGGTAGATAGAGGTGCAGATTGTGGTGAGAATCCGACGAGGATTTTCAGGAGAAAATAGGTCAAAAGGTGGCCAATGCTCACGCAATTGACGTGTGAAGCAAAACATGGCATCCACGTGCATGTCAATATCATTAATCTTAAGAAAAGCCTTTCCTATCTATATAAACTATAAAATGATTAATTCCGTAATAAGGGATCATTAATTAATCTGAATTATTTTAATTTCTTAAATTATTTATATTAGACATTTAGGTTACACCATTTATATGATTTAAGAGACATATCATGTTATATCTTGAGAATGATTTATACTAAGAAGCAACTACAATATCATTTAATTTGAAATTTATTATTTAAATATAAAAAAATTAAATTAGAAAAATTAACATGCGTCTTACATTTTTGTAATTGACAATCTATTGTGACCTACTTTGTTTGAAAATCACTATTAATTTATTTTGTTTTTAATATGACTTAAGAGGTTAAATGAAACTCACACCATTAGGTTATGCTTCCAAAAAATGTTAAATCTAGCTTGCAATTAATAAACTATTTCATCTAAAAGAATGAAACTCACATCATTTGTATTAATTGTTTAGTTATTTTTTATGAATTTTATTTGTTTTTATTTTTATTCATTTAATATTTTGAATATTATTTTTAAGTTAAATTATCTGTTCAATTGTTACTTTTGAAATGGTTGTGTTTGAATAAAATTTAGTTACTACCATACATTTGAAGTGGCCACTTTTTAGCGATTAGGATGCTAAATGTGTGAGAATTTTAAGAGAGTGGAGTGATCACTTTTATGTGAGTGGATAAACTTTTCTAAGAGTGAGAGTTTAACATCTTCTAAGATTCTATCTGAAATATGAAACGCTCTAGAGTTAAAAAACCTGTAAAGGCAGTCCTAAGATCTAGGCAGCAAATAGCTTGAGTCTAAGAGATGCCATGTCCACGCAAATAATTGTAACAAATGGAACTGAAGCTATATTATTCTAGGGGGAGGAGAAGGAGAAGATACAACTAATGACAGTGAGCTCGTCCAAATGCAATTTAAATTTACAGAGAAAAAGAAGAGAAACTCAGACTCCACATAGAGACAATGACAATACAAGTGTATATATTATCGTGAAGCAGAAAATTTCAAATGATTTGCACTGAAAGTTTCCTTGTTCAATGAATTATTCATCTGGGTTGAACCTAATTTGAATAATTGATTGAAGATTAATCTTTAGGCCCTGTTGAATTTTCTGTAAGTTATATTTATCCATATTTTTTTTTTATTTCTTAGGTAAATAAAATAATGACCATTTCAGCCATTAAAATTCCATTATAAAAAGGGGCGTTTTTTGTCCAATCCAAGCAGTGTTGGCAACTTTCCCAAGATGGAAAAGTTAATTTATCCACCTAAGAGATGAAATAAGTGATACTCAGGAAAATAACTTTCCTTGGTCTCCACATAAATAAAAAAAAAAAAAAAAACATGGGTCTCTTGGTCAATGGGATTTGACCAACTTTCTCCCCTCTCAAAATCCCAAAAAAGAATACCCCCTTAGATCTTTTATTACATTTTCTGAACAAAATCTTCTGGTCATTGTAATAAAACTCATGTTTTATTTATTCTAATAAAATAACCCTAATAAAACTCATGTTGTACAATAAAACATACATGTTTTATTTAAATTATATTGTTCTATACTAATAAAACTCATGTTGTACAATATAAATTATATTGTAATAAAATAACCCTAATGCTCAACATGTTTTATTTATTTATTATTTATTTGTTTGTGTGTTTTCTCTTTGTGCTTTAGATGTATGACTAGCTTTTCTCTTGATCCTACTTTTTCTTTCTTTCTTTGTCGGTTGAGTGGTCTTTAATTACTTTATCCTCTTAAAAATAAAAGTTAAAAAGAGGAAGAATTTTAGTCAAAAGCTTATATTTTTGTTAGTTCAACGTTTTTGTTTTATACTAATGTTCAAGGTTCAAAATATAGATAAGTATTGGTCATGACCTCTCAAATATACAAGATAGATGGGACTTAAACCAAACCTCTGAACTAGTTTGAGAAAAATCTAAAAAAAATAAAAGATAAAAGCGAAATTCGATGCAGACTGATACATCACAAACCTTGCTAATGTTCAAACGAGTTCTTATTTGTAGTGCCATGTCTCATGAAGATAAGTAATTGTGTTACAGTAAGAAACTGTTGGTGCTATAGCAATTATCACCAACGTCCTCAGACACTGAATGGAGGTTGAATCAACAGTCAGCTACCGAAACGTTTGGTCCACCGATCGACCATCAAGTTCTAGGATTTCATTTTTTGGAAAGACCAATCACCAATTGACCATCTAGTTCTAGGATAAGGTTGGCCGGCCGGAAGTCCGGCCATCCAGCTGAGTCATGTTTAATAACTTTGATGAATAGTATCCAACTTTTAGGACTTTGGTTGGTATGTTTTATCATCTAACCGAGTATTCAATGCTAGTGGGATGCGCACAATGGCCTAATAAAGTTTCTTATCTAACACATATCATTTATTTATTTGCACGCTACACCATTGACACAAAAAAAGTTGATAGATCGATGAAAATGAATATGTATTGAGATGAAGACAGGCTGTTTCTTACCAATTCTAGTGGCTAATAAGATGGTGCCGGACCTGGTCGGCACTGAGCAAAGTGAGCAGGGCAACAAGAATTATTGGCTGACTCGTCCGACCAAATGCTGAAAAGGATTTTTACTCACAAAGGTTTTCTTCACATTAGGGGCACCGTTTATTTGTACTAAGACTGGAATGGTAATTGATGGCACACCCTACTATGAATTGGCAGTCACTCCCATCAAGCATCAGTCCACTGGTTAATGCGCCTGACTGGCCGGCAGTGAGGAGAGACCTTACCGACTTACAACCAAATTTGAAAACCCATTTGGAATCCATTGTTCAAAACCAAAAGGAGTGGATTGGATTGCTAGCTGGTCTTTTCTATTGCACAACTGCAAGGGATTATATATTTTTATTCATGGAGAATTATTCCTAATGGACAACAGAAAGGGACAGGCTGTGAGGACAGTGTGAGGATGGTTTTCTGAGGATTGATCAAATCCGAATTCTTTTCAAATGGCCTCAGAAGAACTTTGAAATTTCAGGTAACAGATGGTCATCCCTCAATATGATATCCTATCATACCTTAGAAGAACGGAGAATTACGGACAGGCCCAATTCAGATATTTGATTTCCACTGCACAGCTATAAACATTCAAATGGTCTAAAACCCCCCACTCTATACATCAATCCCGCCTATAAATTAGCATCAATTTCAACCTGACATCCACCCCAGCTATACTTTGAGCCTATCAATTCTGACCCTGGCTGATCCGTCATTCTCCCTTAGAACAACACGGCAACATTTTCTACAATCTTGTCTCAACCGATCCCAATAAAATGTGAGTACACCAGCATTTGAAATCTTAAATGGAAAAAATTATGATGCTGAAAAGACATGGTACGGGGGAACAGTTTTGACCAGTCAAAACCAACCCACCTATGAATTTTGATAAATTAATTCCACTTGATTGGTTAATACTTTTGTGGTACCAATTGATTGATCACAAATTTTTCATCAGATTTCATGCATTTAGGTATCATGGTAGAGCCCATCTTAACTGACATGTTTGCATTTTATTGAGGGGTCTCTGGATTATCTCGTTACTACTGTGTCAAGAAATGCGAGGCACCATAAAATGCATGCCAGTTAATATTAAGGGTGTCAATTGAACTGAATTTGGTCCAATCCGATTCAGTCCAATGTGGGTCTATTATAAATGGACCAAGTCCAATCCAATTCAATGAATATTTTGGATCAGTCCAATTCAATGCTCGGACCTTTTAATATGTTCAAATTCGTTTTGATTTAGATCGGTTTCAATCAAGGTTCAAAGTATCGATATGTATCGGCTAATATGTATTGTGCCGATGACTTCTCGATACGCCCCTCCAAGGATTCTATCGGATCAGACACTGGTTCAGAGGGTAACTGGGTCTTAAAGTGACTCCTCTGAACTGGTTTCAAAAAAATAAATAAAACCTAAAAAATATCGGCCCGTATCAATACTTTAAACCTTGGTTTCAATCCAAGCTGGGTCCATTGACACCTCTATTCTTGTCATATCAATGGACCAAATATTAACTTAATCTAATCCAATACAATATAAATTTATTACGGACAGACCCGATTCAATCCAATCTAATAAATATTTTGAACCTCAAATCCAATATGTCTTATTGGTCCATCCAATCCGTTAATTATGGACTAGACGGGGTCCGATCCAAAACCGATCCATTGACACCACAATACTAGGAGGAGGCCTACAATAATTTCGTGGGGAGCTAGCACTTGGGTCAGTGGGTCAGATAAAGTATTGATCCAACGTACGTCAATAGTGTCTCCACTTGCAGTGGGGCATATTCTTGGCAATCCCATCAAGGTATCCAGTCTGTGGGTGGCAACATCAATCAGTTGAGAATATGTGGATATCCAAGCTACGAATTGTACGAGGCAAAGGGAGCTTTAATTAAGGGAATGAGTGGCTTTCGTTTGAGGATGAGCTTTAATTGGTCTGAGGCTCATCATCAGAGCAGGCAGGATCAGGATCAGGACTCACCATTGGTTCCACAATTAAAATGATTTGAAGACTTTTTAATTATCTGATTCATGCATAGCTTTGCTATGGTTTGTGATAAATCTTCCTTTTAATAGTTAGTCACCTGCAATGTAAAGAAGGTCGATAGGAATCTTGTTGATCTTTTTTTGACACCATATCAATGGTTGATCAAGGTATTAATAAAATTTCCTTTAGAAAATTGTTAATAAAATTTAAGGATAAGTGGATTGATGCAATTCACCTTAGGAATTTGAAATGCAGCCCTCTTTTAGTCTATTAGTAGCCCTTATAAACCGCATCCTGTCCATAAATTTAGCATCAATGCACAGGAAGGATTCAGTCCACCATTAAAAATCTTAGTTTCACCCTAGGGGTGGACTGAACTATAAAAACCCCTAAAATTTAAAATGATCGCCCCTCCACTGGAGTAAAGTTTGGGATTTATAAAAGAGTGTTAAAAGGTAAATCAAGCAAACTTGTAAATGAAAACAGCATGATTAAATGGAAAACTGTTTCTAAACATCTAACATATAATGTAGGGTGTAAATGGACCGGATTGGACTCAGCAAAGGGTATATCCGGTTCGATCTCATAAGAAACTTGATTGGTCCGAATCTGATAAGAATTCGTCAGGGTATGATTTGAATTGGAATTCGATTATCTTATCTTCGAATTGCATTCGATTAGAATTGTAATAATATATAATTATAATATTTCATAAACAAAAGGGATCGGATTAAGATATATCTGAATTCGATCCATTAACTAAATGGATCACTATTATGTTCAAATCGAATCTGATCCAACTTCTTTTCAGCTATAATCAAAGGGATTAAATATAATCTTAACCCACACACACACACAATTTTTCTTTTGTGGTGTGTGGAGCCAAAGATTCACCTTTAACACCACAAGCATATAATAAATTTCTTTTTTTCTTTAATTTCGGTTTTTTATTTCTCTACATGTGGAAGATTAATCTACTTGCACTTTAAATAGTCCTATAAATCAACAGAGATCAAACCACCCTTAAACCCACATAACATTCAGTATGAACGAAGGCATGCACATCAGAATCCTAGCTACTATATACACAGGATGGAACAGGTTAGTTTTTATATAATACCTTCATCATGGCAGAGACCCATGCACGCCGGCAGATTGAATCGACACCGATGACGGTGGTGAGTGGTTTGGTTCGAACTTTATACCATAACAAACCGTTATAGACAATTGTGACCAGCAGCGCTGGAGGCACCATCACCAAATCCAGATAGAACATCCTCCACTCCATCTCAGCTCTCTCTCTCTCTCTCTCTCTCTCTCTCTGCTTCTGTTTTCCTCCTCTGCAACTCTTCACAAGTCACAACTCTATATATGTGAAGGCGCTTTAACCACTAGAGTACCCAAGGTCTCCAGCTGTAGAAGTTACCAGAAAAAGGATGAGTCGATGAGTATAGCAACAAGTTCAAAACTTGCACGTAAGACAGAGGCAAGCTCCATGATACCCAAGACCATGGATGTCAGTTACTAAAGGTTAGCTCACTCAGGACTCAGGAGATCATCCGTATCAAGAAGGTAATCTGATGGTATCGTCATCATGATCAAATGAAAGCAGAGAGGTTGATAAATCTGAAAGGAGTTACGTACGTTGTTCTTGGGAGGAGGAACCCATCGCTATTGGTTACGTATAGGTAATGTGCCAAACAGAAGTAAATGGCCAAGCGCACGGAATGAACATGCTCGGCTGCAAACGGAAAGCCGTTTCAGGAGTTCCGTGGAGGGATTGCCACACTGTTCATGTTCTATGGCTTGTTTTGTTCTCTTCCTAAGAAAGCTTATTTTCTGTGTTTGGATTACGCAGCCTTAACTGGAAGAAAGAACATCAAGTTAGCAATAATAATATCTTGACGTGTGAACTTTTGAGAGAACGCCCAGTAAAATGAGCAACCTGTGATTTATTGAGATTCTTGTTTCTAGGGTCCGTTTGGTTCATGAGAAAAGGTGTTTGGAATCAGAATCAAAATAGCTTTTTAGGGTCCATTTAGTTAATTGAAATCGATGGAATCGAAATCTAATTCTCATTTTTAGTGGAATGGTGTTCTCCCATTTGAAATGAAAATGGTCATTCCCTCCTCTTCCCTTGGGAAATGAGAATCTCATGCCAACTGATTTCGGTTCCCGTATGAATCAAATGGGCAAGGAGAATAGAGAATTCCGGTTCTAAGGGATTTTGAATCTGATTCCGACACTAACCAATACACAAAACAAATAATAAGAACAAATACATGGAAGCGTGACCCATTGACCAAGTCAAATAAGTTCATAGTTAAACCAGCTGAGTCACTAAATCATTGACCAAGTCAATGCCTTTATGCAACTAGATGGGTCAAAGGTAAAATGGACCTAGCTAAAATGTGTCTGTGTGATGGGTCAAATTGTCTGACCATCTGCTTCAATCATAGGTTAAAAGCATTATAGGCCGGGGTGCGGGAATCTCAACACATCTTGCTTCACAAATATATGAGATTTGCAATTCATTCATAATCACCCATAAATGGGATCCTAAGTCAGTTGGACTCACAAGTCATCCAGACTTGTAATTAACCTAGAATCTTAGGTGGGACTTGCAAATCCCAAAATTGTAGCACTTTGGATTTGTAGCAGCAACTAGATGTACATGTCGGGTAACCTAGGTCCAATCCTAAGATTTGGGCTTAAAACATAAGTCCCAGATCAAGTCTAATCTTCCCAACTCGAGTTCAACCTTTATCATAATTTGATGCATTTGGGTTAGGCTCAGGCCTAGGTTATGCTTGGTTTGATCAATGAACCCACTCTAAAATTATACATATGCATACATTTTATGCAAATATGAATATATGTAAATATATATAAAAATGTGTGTGTATATATATATATATATATATATATACATACATTAATACTATTTATATATGTATGTATGTGTGCATGTTTATAGTCGGGTCGGGCTTGGACCGGCTTCAGGCTACCTAAGGGCTAGGCTTGTACTCATCCTAAAAAAAATAAATACCTGAATTCTTGGGTCCGAGCCCAGCCTGAGGACCAAAAATTCAAGCCCAGGCCGTGTAAAAGTTTGGGCTGGATTAGCTCGGGCTCAGATTGGACCCACCCAAGTTGCACCCCTAACAGGAACTTGGCAAGATTTGCAAAGTATGTTACATTCTTAGATTTGTGGAGCCAACTCAGTTTTAAGGTTTCTCATATAAGTACTCTTTCATATATTGCACAAATGTTATCTTATATATTGAGTGTCAAACTAAGAATGATTGTAGTGTGTAATAGCTGCAAGAGAAGGAGCTTCAGGTGCATTTGGGAGCAAGACTTTGGTGAGTGAGCCGATGAACACTTTTACTGGAATCTCTACTAACCATTAGTGTATAATGATGTCACATCCTAGCACTTTGATTTTGGGTTTTCATTTTGGAAACCAGTTTAGGACATGATTGTGATTCAATAAGGCATCCCTTGGATAGCAGTGCATTTTATCAATAAGAGGACTGAAGGATTTTGAGAGAGGGCAAAAGTAACATAGATCATACATATGGTTAAACATAGTATAGAAGATCTAAAAACTCATAAGAATAGAGATGCAAATGAATTGGATAGAATTTAAATAGTGGTATGTCTAAATTCAATTCCACTCGATTAAATTAACCAATATTTGAGATTTGAATTAGATCAGTGTAACTAAGGCTCAGTTTGGAAAGAGTATAAATGCAAATATGTACAGCGTATATACATACAAAATATAAGGTTTTGCACTCTACATATTTGCATTTGTGCTCCTTCCAAACTCAGCCTAAGGATTTTTTTTTCTAACAAACCTTGAGCTTTGTAAAATTCTCACTTTAGACCTTAAATATTAAAAATGACAATTTTTACCTCAAACTATGATGGAAATGCCACGTTAAGTCAAAAAAGGGACAACACTAGAGCCATCGCACAAATGGTTATGAGAACCAATTGACAAATCGGTAACAAGGACCAAAAACCACAAGAACTAAATAACCCTATGTTTTTAGGGTTTTGTTCGATTTGATTCAAATGGTTATGAGCGTTGTTTCAAATGTCGCGAAATTTCGCTAATGTCGCCCAACATATGTCGATGTCGAGGTTCATTGACATGAAAATGGATGGTAATATAAGAATTACTTTATTTTGGTCGACATTTTCTATATTTCAGAAATGTTAACCAAATCGGTCCAAATAACCGAAAAAAGACAGTTTTTCCTATTATGTCGATAGTATGTTGACTAATGTACATTAATAATATAATATATTAGTATATTATATTAATAGAATACAATACATTATTATAAATCATTCCATTAATAATTTCTATTTAATATTTTCAAATAAAATATTTATAAAAAATAATTACAAAAAATAAAAACAAAAGAATAAATTAATTACTTTATAATATAAAACATAAAATATTTTTCAAGTAATAAAATATTAACTAGTTAGTATTTTTAAAATATTTATTAAAATCAGATAATTTTTATTAAATTTTATAATAAATCATAATCTAAATTTAATATAAAAAATGAGAATAAGTATATTAAATCATAATTTATTATAAATTTAGTATTAAAAATCATAATAAATTCATTAAGTTTTATAAGAAATCAGAATTTATCATAATCTTAATACTACAAAAGGAGAATCAATTTATTAAATTTATAATAAAATATAATGTATTATAACTTTAATATTTAAAAAAATCAGAATAAATGTATTTCTATTTACTAGTGTGAAATAAATTTATTAGAATTTATAATAAATCAGAATTAAAAATAAGAAAAGAAAATATCGGTTAACCTTGTAAAAACATCAAAATGCCTAATTAATCAGTAAGTCGTCATTTACTAATTTGTTATTGATCTTAGTTTCTTAGCTTTATATAATGGTTGGGAATAAGATAATAGTCTAGAAATATGTATTAATGCTTCTTTTATCATTTTACAAAATATCATTGCATATTTCCACAATGTCTCTAATTTTTACAATATTTCCCCTTGACATTTCCAACATATGCCCTATATTTTGGTAAGCAACATTTCCATCATTGACATTTTATAAAATTTCCCCTAAAGCTTAGTTTAGAATGAGTACAAATACAAATTTATAGAGTACAAAACCTTGTATTTTGTATCATTCTGTATATATTTGTACTGTACATATTTGTATTTATACTTCTTCCAAACTAAGCCTTATATTCTTTTGTATGGGTCTGTACTGTATATATTTGTATTTGTACTCCTTCCAAATTGAGCCTAAAGGCTCAATATAGAAAGAGTGCAAATATAAATATGTAGTAGTATGTAAAACCTTGTATATGGTATTACAGTACTGCCCATATTTGTATTTATACTCTTCGCAAACTAAACCAAAAGTCGCATGTCTTATCTTCAGTTACTAACTAATCTATGAATATATTTTTATACATATATTGTCAAATTAATGCATGAAACAACCGTACAAATCCCTACTGAGCATGGGGTGTTTAGTGGATATAGATTACTACACTCCTCTCCTCCCACAACAAGTCTACGAAAGTCGAAATGGGAGAGAAACAGCCTTACAAATCCCTTCTCAGGATAACTCTCACACTCTTTCTGCTTTTTTGTTTTTCCTCTTTTGTTGCTTTGTTTCTTAATGGTGATTCTACTAATTTGCAACCCCCTCGATCTATGTTGTGTCAGGTAGCAAGGATTCCACTCACCACCTAGAGGCTTCTAAAAATTTTCTGCATAAGATTGTCCAGGGACTGAATTTAGTGGAGGATCTAAAACCAGTTTCCACAATGTTAGGGGAAGGTAGGAGAGGGAACCAGTTGAACACCACAACCGATTTGTTGGGTTTAAACAGGGTGGACAAAATGGAAGGAAATAGGGATTTGGGGAGTTGCAAGAGCACGAAGCCTCAAAATCTGACAAGTTACGGAGAGAACTCAGAATAGTTTTAGGGGGCATTCTTTTTTTTGGATTTTGGGAGGGAGAAGTTGGTCAATGGGATTTTGGTTCCCATTGACCAAGAATCTCATGTTTTTTTTTTTTAGATTTATGTGGGGACCAGGGAAAAAGTTTATCTGGGTAAGTGATACTCATCTCCTAGGTGGGTAAATAATTTTCCCACCTAGGGGGAAATTGTCAATACTTGAATGAGACAAATTAAAATGCCCTTTTTAATAATGGATTTTTATGGCTAAAATGGTCGTTGCTTTATTTACATGAGATATAAAAGAACATGGGTAAATGCACTTACCTGGGTAAGTGTTTCCTAGAAAAAACTTACCCAAGTAACTGCATTTACCCTGGTAAATAATTTATCGAAAAGCAAACAAGGCCTTAGTAGGATTTCCGAATTTTTGTTCAATTAGGACTTTCTTTTTGAAGAGTTTTAATAGGATTCTATTATGGAATGTTTTCATAGATTATGAAACTTTCTTGTAGGATCCATAAGGGTGTAAGCCTATATAAAGAGTAGCTAAGAGAAGGCTAAAGCAGTTTTTTATGTTGATTTTCTCTTAATTATTCAATGAAGAATTCTTCTTCCTAATAATTCAACTTTTTCTCTTTTCTTTGAAGCTTTTCTCAACGTGTTTTGTTTCCGTATTATGCCATTTGGTATCAGAGCTCAAATGGCTCAATTTTGAAACAAGCACGCTTCCATCAAATAGCTCAACATTTCCATTTGGTATCAGAGCTCAGATTAGGAAACAAATGGCTCAATCTTGAAACACATTTCTGTACTACTTGTTTTTTATGTTGTTTCTTCTCAGCTCCCCCATTTTGTTTCCGTACTTCTATAAAAGCACTTTTACGAAAGCACTTTTATGAAAGCATTTTATAAAAGCATTTTTATAAAAGCACTTTTATGAAAGCACTTTTACAAA